TTTTTCACTGGGTAGAGTAGAATGTAACTGTCAAAAAAGTGAGGCAGGGTGTAGTAATTGCCAGAACTGAGGTAGAAACAGCGTAGTGGGAAACAGGAAGATGTTATGAATTTTCACTGGATGTGAGGCAGGGGTGGGATCACTGAAGAGTTTACTGGAAGCAGCGATATTAGAACTGAATCCTGAGGGATGAATAGGATTTCAAATACATGGAGAAGGCTCTGAATGACACTTTCAATAAATTCAACTAAAATATTAGATAAAATCATTTTTTAAATGTTGTTCATGTATTTTAGAGCCACATGCACATACACAGCCACGGGTTTCCAGAACCCCAACTGAAATGAAACCAGGAAGCATAGAAGTCTTGAGTTCTGCTTTGCACGGGGCGTAGGATAGTAAACTTAAAACCCAGGCTTGCCCCAGGTGGACTTTCTAATAAGACCTCTGTGTAAAGCTGGGCTCCCAATGGGCTATAACCCCAGTGGGAGGGTGATTGAAATGCACTTTTCCTCACAGAAGGAAGCAGCAAAGAAATGTGCCTGTCTTCTCACGGGCATGGGTGGGAGAAAATATTCCACCCCAAGAGTCTCTAACCACTGTGCAGGTTACAGACCATTGGGAAGGCTAGTTATCTTCTCTTAGTAAGGAGGAGAGAAGGCTTGGATATAAACCTCTGTAACTGGCTCCCATTCCCTTCTTCCATGCTACCTGTCCCCCCCCCCTTACTTTATCTCTTCTCATCCTTATCTTTCCTCCTCTCCTGGAGTAAAGGTGGGCTCTATATAATGGAGAGAGATCCGCTTTTCCTGGAAGATACACCTTGTATGCACCTAATAACAGATGCTTACAGATCTATCTACAAGGAAATGAACATCCTCCATTATAGTAGAGATTTTAACATACCTCACTAATTTATTAGATCAAACAAAAAATACCAGCAAAGATAATTTTGAATAGCACAATTTACAAACTCGGTTTAATGAACTTATGAAGAAGACTGTCTAACATGAATACTTATTCATTTCAAGTGCACATGGAATATTTATGAAATTTGCCATGTACTAGTAGCTCAACAAATTTCAAAAGACTGGTATCATATAGAGATTTTAGCCATGAGACTAACACTGAGAACCCAGAGACCTTAACATCCATACAGTATTATGGAAAGTGGAGTATGGAGGTATTGTGAGGTGAGTGAGAGGTTAATGGGAGATCAAGCTAGAAAGAGCCAGGGTTGAGCCAGGAACCAGTCACAAGAAGCAGGGAACTATGGGAAGATCCTAAACTTTGAAGAATAGTAGACTTGCGAATGCCTATCCCCACTACTTACTAAATGCATGAAAAAATAAATTAACTTTTCCTATTCTTGATTTATTAAGTGTTGACTGTATTGGATGTTTCACAGAGTTATAACAATTGAGTACATTTATAAAGTTTTCAATATATAGCGTATTGGTGTAGAGTGCCTTAGCTTCCACAGTGATGAGCAGGGGCCTTATTTAAGGAAAACTCTTATAGACACACAACAGTGTATCCAATAGGTAAGAGACCTATTGACAAGTCTGTGCTCTGGCAGCCTCTGAGTTGGGCTCAGATTGGATTCTCCAACTATGGGTAGTCACTTCCTTGTGTGATCCCCTCCTGTAATGGGCCAAGGCTGGTCTGTGTGACACGTAACATATGGCAGAAGAGGTTTGTCACTTCTACGATTAGGTCATCAAGGACTGCAGCTTAAGTTTTGCTCACTCTCAAGCACTCTCTTGGATCGTTTGTTCTGGGAGAAGGCAGCTGCCCTATCATGAAGGCCCAGATGCTGAAGAACTGAAGTCTCCCGCCAACAACAAGAAATTGAGCATCCATGTGAATGAGCTCAGAAGTGAGTATTTCCCCAGGCAAGCCTTCCCCTAGCCAGCAGCTTGACTGCAATCTCCAGAGACTGTGGACCAGAACAATCCAGTTAGGCCACCCCCAGATTCCTGACTATCAGAAACTGGGATAATAAATATTTTTTTAGCCACTACGTTTTGGAGTAATTTGTTACACAGTAATAGATAAGTTCATGGAAAATTAAAATTAGTACAAATGTCATCAGGTACCTAAAAGGTCTTAGATTCTTTTCCTAGGGCAGACAAAATAAACCTCACATAGATTTGGGATTTCATCAAAAAGGGATTGAATCTCAGATTTAGCACTGAATTTTTTTCATACTTGCAGACAAGGAAACCCTACGCAGGGAAGCTTATGGGCCTTAGTGGAGAACCTTCTAAATCCATGGGCTTGGACCTTGGCTATGGTGGTCCCCTGCTGAACTTCCTTGGAGCACCCCTGATTGTCAAAGCTCATGAAAGATTGCTTGGGAAGCCATTCACATGAGCAAGGGAGAGCAATACCTTCATAGTCTCATCTCAAATCGGAGTTAGGGAAGGGCACTTAAGAGTATTGGAGGGGAGGGCCTAGGGCTAGTCAAGGGGTGGTTATATGGCAGAGGTAGGTGAGTGGGTCTGGGCAGCAGTTGGTCAGAATTTGTAAACGCTGCTGGAGCAGTGTCAGTGTTCCTTACGATTTGAGACATATGAGACCATATTGAGTTCCTGTTAATGTAGTCTTCTCTTGGGATATACAGGTCTGAATGAGCTAGTGTTAAAATAGCTCAAGCACCCGGGCTGGTTGCTCAGAGGTTAGAGTGTTGGCCCGCAGACTGAAGGGTCACGGGTTTGATTCAGGTCAAGGGCATGTACCTTGGCTGCAGGCTCCTCCCCTGCCTGGGCCCTGGTTAGGGCGCATGCAGGAGGCAACCAATCAATGTGTTTCTGTCTTTCCCTCTCTCTCCCACTCTCTCTAATAATCAATGGGAAAATATCCTTGGGAGAGGATTAATAAAAAACAAACAAAGAAACAAAAATAGCTCAAGCTTTGGTAATTTGTGTATGATGAGCTTTAGTATACTTTATAGGTTTTTAGTAATAGTGCAGTTTTTCAAATTGTGGTTTTATTTCCCAATGGAGAACTATCTGACAAGGAGACCTATTAGGACTTTATTGCAAGAGATAATCAAATATTTATTGAGACATATGATTCCACCCATGCTGGAATAACAAGTGTTAGACTTAACATTTCTCTCTAAACGAAATGTGGAACTGCTTTCAGGCATGGAACAATAAGACAGCGCAGAACTGGGATTCCTGAGAGAAAGGAAACAAATGAGGTGATTCCCTACAGTTGCCCCAACTTTCTGCATGGAAGTAATTTTCAGACTATAAACTCAAGGGATAATCCAAACAGAGCTTGACAAACTTGCTAAATTGAGATAGAAATTGGAGTTCAAGGAGGTTGAGGCAGCTGTACATTGTGGGGGAGGCATAGGTGAGAGCTATGCAGAGAAGAGGTCCAGAAATCTGCACAGGATCCCCTGAGTGCTGAATTCTAAGCCACACATCCTCAGAGTAAAATTCTAGAAAGGCAGAAAATGACAGGGAGTAAAAGCTGAACAATTGCCTTGGCTGCCACCGTCTGTTCAGCCATCCCTGGCTCCTCCCCGCATCCGCTCCTGCTGGCTTAGCTTCTTGGATCACCACCACGAAAGGACAGAGCGGCCAAGTGTAAAGATTACCCACCTGTTCCTGCTGGCCTCGGGAAACAGTTCCGCATATCCCAACCCTTTCAAGGGCCATCTAACTGGTGTGTTGGGGAAAGAGGTGGGACTCCTGCCTTCTCCCACAGTTGGCTGTCTGCAGCTGGGGCCCTGGTCTCATCAGCACCCTGTGAGGAGGCAGGGTCTGGGACCCCCATGCTCCCCAGAGGAGGCAGCCTGGGCCCAGGGCCTCACCAAGCACTGTGAACACAAACCCAAGTGTTGAGGCCCCAAGAGGACTTCAAAGAAGGAAAATGTCAATAATATCGTGTCCCTGCTCCTGCAGTCACAAGCCAGACTCCAGCTTGGGAGGGGTTCTCTCACTGGCCCCAGCTGCTGCCTGTGTGGTCTCCTCCACTGCAAACACAGCTGAGCTTGGGTTTCTGTGTTTAACAATATGCAGTGAGAGTTGACTCTTTAATGGACTCCTGGGCTCCAGATTAGAATTTTGGGCAGGATTCAAGGTCCCAAGATCTGAGTGTGACTGCCTTTCAGGTGGGGAGAGGACGGACGGTTGAGTTATCATTTGTTCTTCTCAAAACAAACCCAAACCCATTACCCAGTCAAAGACTTGGCTCACAATCATAATGTCGGGGGTAGGGGGTGGGGGATGAAGAAATATTGAACAGGACAGAGGGTTTTGTCCACACTGGAGATGTAAACATTTGGAAACTCGTTGCACCTGTGCTGAATATGAAGCTCCCCAAACTCTGAGGGCACATGTGGTTTCAGCACCTACATACCCAGTTCATCACTCCAGCCCAAACATGCCTTACCAGAAAGCATGGGCTTCCTGGGCTGCTGGGATACATCTCTGGATGTTCAAAACCTCCAAGGGCTGTGAAATCCCAAAAGGAGCCGGTAAGTCTCCTGGGAGCCCGCTGCTGCTCTTCCCCCTAGCTACCACATGATGGCAACAGGGAGCCAGCTCCACCGCTGTAGGGACGGACTAGGCAAGGCTTCCTGCCACAGGGGTTCCAGGCAAGATCTGTGCTCTTCCTGCAGACTCACACAGGTGTGAGGTGGCCCAACGAGCAGGGCTTCACTGAGCTGGTTTGGGCTTTAATCTTTGGCCCAGGCAAAGATCACATTTCTCCCAAGTTGTGACTGTTTTCTCCAACCCTACAATTTAGGATCCCTCCACATGATGCCCTCCCTCCATACCCTACTCCCCATGTAGTCCCTCACGCTGTGTGCTGCTATGAAGGTAAGCCAGGCTCTCCATCTCTCTCATTCATAACCACCTGGCATTCTAAGGCCATTTGGCAGCAGTGGAAACTGAGGCTCAGAGACTCAGTGAGATTCCAAGATCAGACAGCCCCACAACGCGGAGCAAATGACAAAATGAAGTGGAGAAACTCTAAACTGTCAGTAACAAAACTCATTTATTTCAATAACATGAACTCCCCAGATCACCAAAGTCCTATAAAACCTGCCATCATATTGCACCCTGGACTCTGTGGGCACACAGAGGCAACCTAGCATCTGGCCAGACTAAGACCAAGGGTGGGGCCAGGGCAGGGCCAGCAACAGGAAAGGTGGCCCTGCTCTGTGACAGGCAGAGTGAAGGCGGCTCACAGCTGACTCCTGTGCCCGGCCCGTGGACAAGGATGGCCCCAGCCTGAGTCCTGCAGGGGAGGGCTTCTCTCCTTGGCCAGGGCGGTCCTTGCCAGAGCAGGTGAAGTGGGGAGGGAATTAGGATGGCACAGGCTGCCTTGAGCCAGCGTTCTGCTCTGTTACACCATGGACAAGTTCAGGGACAGAGCTGACAAAAACGGCCTCTTTGCAACTTAAAACGCTACTATCCAATCCTCACCCACGCCAGCTAGAGCAGTTACTAACTGAAGCAACATCAAGCGACAGGCACGACAGGGGACAGGCACACAGTTGTACAGCAGCTGAGGTGGGCTGCACCCGAAACCGCCCCGGTGTGATGTCGGCCCAGTGCACCGGTTGTCAAAAACTCCCCTTCTCGGGCCCCCATCCCTGGCCTCGGAGCCTCTGCAGTGCACCAGGCCCCGTGGGGAGCACCGCAGGCTAGTGCAGCCGCAGGTAGGAGGGGGCGGAGTAGTTGAAGAGCAGGAAGTCCATCTTGTAGAGGTCAAAGAGGCGCCGCTGATAGAAGGGGCTGATGTCCTGAAAGAGGCGCCGGGCCTGGTCCTGGGCCGCGGCTGCCTTGGCCCGGGGCGGTGGCGCGGGGAAGCGCAGGCCTGGCGCGCCCACCAGGCTCAGCACGAAGGCCGCGTCCTCCGCCAGGGTCTCGAACTTGCCCACGACGTCGTAGCGCAGGCGGCACGGGTGGCAGAGCGCGTGGGCGCGCTCCCAGTGCTCATTGAAGGGCTCGTCGCGGCGCGTGCGCGGGTCCAGCAGGTAGGCCTAGGAACTCGGCGAAGCGCACGTCGTGGCCGCGGGCCAGCGCGTCGGGGTGCGGGCGCGGGCGCAGGCGCCGCACATGCGCGTGCCGTAAAGCCGCTGGAAGGCGCGCTGTAGGGCCGCGCGTACTTGTGCGTAGGCCGACGCCAGGCG